TTTTGGGTTTTACATTTAAGTCTTGAACCTGTCTTAGGTTAATTTTTGTTTATGGTGTAAGGAAGGGGTCCAGTTTCAATTTTCTGCATATAGCTAGTCAGTTCTCCCAGCACCATTTATTAAGTATAGAACTATTTCCTCATTGCTTTCGTCTGGTTTGTTAAAGTTCAGATAGTTGCACGTGCGTGGTCTTATTTCTGAGTGCCCTATTCTGTTCCACTGGTCTATGTGTCTGTTCTTGCACCAGTAGTATGATGTTTTGGTTACTGTAGCCTTGCAGTATACTTTAAAGTTGGGTAGCATAATGCCTTCAGCTTTGTTCTTTTTATTGAGGATTGTCTTGGCTATTTGAGCTCTTTTTCTGGTTCCATATGAATTTTAAAATAGATTTTTCTAATTCTGTGAAGAATGTCAACATAAGTTTAATGGGAATAGCATTGAATTTATAAATTACTTTGGGCAGTATGGCATTAACACGATATTGATTCTTCCTATCCATAAGCATGGAATGTTTTCCCATTTGTTTGTGTCTTCTCTGATTTATTTAAGCCATGGTTTACAGTTCTCCTTGAAGGTATCCTTCACATTCCTTGTTAGTTGTATTCCTAGGTATTTTTTTTCTGCAGCAATTGTGAATGGGAGTTCATTTGTGATTTGTCTCTCTGCTTGCCTGTTGTTAGTATACAGGAATGCTAGCAATTTCTGCACACTGAATTTGTATCCTGAGACTTCACTGAAGTTGCTTATTAGCTTGGGAAGCTTTAGGGCTAAGATGATGGGGTTTTCTAGATATAAAATCATGTCATCTGCAAACAAAGATAATTTGACTTCTTCTCTCCCTATGTGAAAACCCTTTATTTTCCTGCCTGATTGCCCAGGTCAGAACTTCCAATATAATGTTAGACAGAAGTAGTAAAACAGGGCATCCTCATCTTGTGCCAGTTTTCCAGGGGAATGCTTCCAGCTTTTGCCCATTCAGGATGATACTGGCTGTGGGTCTGTCATATATGACTTTTATTTTGAGGTATGTTCCTTCTATTACTAGTTCATTGAGAGTTTTTAACATGAAGGGTGATGAATTTTATTGAAGGCCTTTTCTGCATCTATTAAAATAATCATATCGTTTTTGTTTTTAGTTCTGCTTATGGGATGAATCACATTTATTGATTTGCATATGTTAAACCAACCTTGCATCCTGGGAATGAAGCCAACTTGATCATGTGGATAAGCTTTTTGATGTACTGCTGAATTCAGTTTGCCAGTATTTTATTGAGGACTTTTGCATTGATGTTCATCAGGGATATTGGCCTGAAGTTTTCTTTCTCGGTGTACCTCTGCCAGGTTTGGGTATTAGGATGATGCTGGCCTCATACAAATAGGGAGGAGTTCATCTTTTTCAATTTTTTGGAAGTTTCAGTAGAAATGGTACTAGCTCTTCTTTGTAAGTCTGGTAGAATTCAGCCATAAATATATCTGGTCCTGGGCTTTTTTTGGTTGGTATGCTATTACTGCCTCAATTTCCGAATTTGTTATTGGGCTATTTAGAGATTCAATTTCTTCCTAGTCTTGGAAGGTGTATGTGTACAGGAATTTATCCATGTTTTCTAGTTTATGTGCATAGAGATGTTTCTACTATTCTCTAACGGTTGTTTGTATTTCTGTGGGGTCAGTGGTGATATCCCCCTTATCATTTCTGATTGTGCTTATTTGTTTCTTCTTTCCTTTCTTCTTTATTAGTCTAGCTGGCAGTTTATCTATTTTATTAATTTTTTTCAAAAACCAGCTCGTGGATTGATTTTTGAAAGGTTGTGTCTCTATCTCCTTCACTTCTGCACTGATCTTGGTTATTTCTTGTCTTCTGCTAGCTTTGGGGTTTTGTTTGCTCTTGGTTCTCTAGTTCTTTTAGTTGTGATTTTAGGTTGTTAACTTGAGATCTTCCTAGCTTTCTGATGTGGGCATTTAGTGCTATAAATTTCTTTCTTAACACTGCTTTAGCTGCATCCCAGAAATTCTGGTCTGTTGTCTCTTTGTTCTCACTAGTTTCAAAGAACTTCTTGATTTCTGCCTTAATTTCATTATTTACTCAAGAGTCATTCAGGAGCAGATTGTTCAATTTCCATGCAGTTGTGTGGTTTTTGAGTGAATTTCTTAATCTTGAGTTCTAGTTTGATTGTGCTGTAGTCTAAGAGATAGTCTGCTGTGATTTAAGTTCTTTTACATTTGCTGAGGAGTGTTTTACTTCTGATTATGTGATCAGTTTCAAAGTGCCATGTAGTGATGAGAAGAATGCATATTCTGTTGTTTTAGGGTGGAGAGTTCTGTAGATGTCTATTAGGTCCACTTGATCCAGAAGTGAGTTCAGGTCCTGAATATCTTTGTTAATTTTGTTTCATCTGTCTAATATTGTCAGTGGGGTGTTAAAAGTCTCCCACTGTTATTGTGTGGGAGTGTAAGTCTCTTTGTTGGTCTCTAAGAACTTGATTTATGAATCTGGGTGCTCCTGTATTGGGTGCATACATATTTAGGATTGTTAGGTCTTCTTGTTGAATTGAACCTTTTACTATTATGTGATGCCCTTCTTTGTCTTTTCTCAGCTTTGTTGGTGTAAAGTCTGTTTTGTCAGAAACTAAGATCACAATTCCTGCTTTTTTCTGTTTTCCATTTGCTTGGTAAATTTTTCTCCATCCCTTTATTTTGAGACGATGTGTGTCTTTGCACATGAGATAGGTCTCTTGAAGACAGCATATTGATGGGTCTTGACTCTACTCAGATTGCCATTCTGTGCCTTTTAATTAAAAGCATTTAACCCATTTACATTTAAGGTTAGTAATGTTATGTGCTAATTTGATCCTGTCGTCATGATGCTAGCTGGTTATTTTTCAGACTTGTTTATGTGGTTGCTTGATAGTGTCACTGGTCTGTGTACTTGAGTGTGTTCTTGTAGTGGCTGGTAACAGTTTTTCCTTCCCATATTTAGTGCTTCCCTCAGGAGCTCTTGCAAGGCAGGCCTGATGGTGATGAATTCCCTAAGCATTTGCTTGTCTGAAAAGGATCTTATTTCTCCTTCACTCATAAAACTTAGTTTGGCCAGATACAAAATTCTAGATTGGCAATTCCTTTCTTTATGAATGTTGAATATTGATCCCTAATCTCTTCTGGCTTCCAGGATTCCCACTGAGAGGTTCACTGTTTGTCTGTTTGTAGGTGACCTGGCCTTTCTCTTTGGTTGCCCTTAACATATTTTCTTTCATTTCAACCTTGGAGAGTCTGATGATTATTATCTTGGGGTTAATCTTCTCATGAAGTATCTTACTGGGGTTCTCTGCATTTCCTGAATTTGAATGTTGACCTGTCTTTCTAGGTTAGAGAAGTTCTCCTGGATGATATCCTGAAGTATATTTTCCAACTTGGTTCCATTCTTCCTACCTCCTTCAGGTACCCCAATCAGTTGGTACATCTGGTCTCTTTACATAATTCCGTATTTCTTGGGAGGTTTTATTCATTCCTTTTCATTCTTTTTTCTCTATTCTTGTCTGCCTGTCTTATTTCAGAAAGATAATCTTCAAGCTCTGAGATTCCTTCCTTCACTCAGTCTATTCTGCTATTGATACTTGTGATTGCACTGTGAAGTTCTTGTGTATTTTTCAGCTCCTTCTGGTCAGTTATATTCCTCTTTAAACTGACTATTCTGGCTGTCAGCTCTTGTATATCACGATTCTTAGTTTCTTTGCGTTAGTTTACAACAATCCTTTAGCTCAGCAAAGTTCATTATTACCCATCTTCTAAAACCTACTGTCAATTCAGCCATCTCAGCCTCAGCCCAGTTCTGTGCCCTTAGTGGAGAGGCACTGCAGTCATTTGGAGAAGAGGTATTCTCGCTTTTTGAGTTTTCAACATTATTTTTGGTGTTGATTCTTTCTCGTCTTTGTGGACTTACCTACCTTTGATCTTTGAAGTTGCTGACCTTTTAATGGGGATTATGTGTGGTCTTTTCTGTTGATGTTGTTGTTGTTATTGTTTTCTGCCTGTTTTTCTTTTAACATCAGGCCACTCTTCTGTAGGGCCGCTGCAGTTTCCTGGGGATCCACTCCAGACCCTAGTTGCCTCAGTTTTTCCTGTATCTGGAGGTATCACCAGTGAAGGCTGTGAAACAGCAAAGATGGTAGCCTGCTCTTCTTCTGGAAACTCTGTCACAGGGGGTCCTGACCTGTTGCTGGCCCAAACGCACCTGTAGGAAGTTGCTGGAAACCCCTTTTGGGAGGTCTCACCCAGTCAGGAGAAACAGGATTAGAGAATTGCTTAAAGAAGCAGTCTGGCTGCCTTTTGGTAGAGGTAGGTGTGCTACATTGCAGGGGATCCTTCCTCATTTGAACTGTTTGAACTCTCCAAAGCTGGCAGGCTGAAACAGTTGAGTCAACCGAACCACAGAGACAGCGGCCTGCCCTCTCCCCCACCTGCAGCTCTGTCCCAGGGAGAGATCAGAGCTCTGTCCGTATAACCTGGCTAGAATGGCTGAAGCCCCCACAAGTGAGGAGGAATGGATCAGGGTCCCACTTAAAGAAGCAGTCTGGCCACAATTTGGCAAAGCAGCTGTGCTGCACTGGGGGGATCCCTCCTTATCCTGACCATTTGAACTCTCCAAAGCCAGCAGCTGGAATGATTGAGTCAACCAAACTGCAGAGATGGCGGCCACCCCACCCCCTGGGAACTCTATCCCATCTCAGGCAGACTCCAGCCTGTTGCCATTGGCTGGCTTGAGTTCCATGCCAGTGGGTCTTACCCTGTGAGGTACCGTGGAAGTGGGGCCCACAGAACAATGCTGTTTGGTTACCTGGATTCAGTCTCCTTCCTAGGGGTATGGATGGATGGACCTCCCACCTTGCTGGGGATCCTGGGGTAGGAGTATATAAAACTCATGGGTCTCTGTGTGCCTGAGTGGCTGCTCTACCGAGATTCTACACAGCTCTGTGTATTGGACCCAATGCCCTGGTGGTGTAGGCTCCTGAGGAGATCTCTTGATCTTCAGGTTGCAAAGATTCATAGGCATAGCGTGGTTTACTGGGCAGAGTCATACAATCCCTCACAGCTTCCTTGGCTGGGGGTGGGGGTTCCTTTGGCTGTATGACACTCCTGGGTGGGCCATCACCTTACCCTGCTTTTCTTCCTTCTGCTTGAGTTGAGCTGTTTGCCTAATCAGTCTCAATGCGAGAACCTGGATATTTTAGTTGAATGTGCTGTATTCACTTGCCACCTTCATTCCTCTCTGTGAGTGCTGCAGACCGAAGCTGTTTCTAATCGGCCATCTTGGCCCCTCCCTCTTACTCTTTAACTCATGTCCTCCCTCTGCAACGTATTGAGAGGAAAAAAAAAATCTCTGGTGCAATAGGCTTCAAATTGGGAGTTACTGCATTAGAAAATCTCTAAGGCAACTGGGCTGAACAGGAAAGTCTACTGAAATGTGAATTGGGGTAAACATTAAAAGAACATAAATGAAACATTTAATGTATACACCAGTCATTCCAAAAAAGGGGACAGCAATGAGAATAGAAATGACCTTCTTGCAGATACTGAAAAACCTGAGAAAAACCACCAGAGATTTACAGCAACTGAGCAAATGCTTAAACAAAGGAAGGGTTACAGGAGATCCCTGTGGCACTTTAACTTATCCTAGACACACCCTCATCCCTGGCATGGTAGTGGTCTTGAAGATAGGAGTACATGTTAAACCCAAGGTGGCAAAAGACTGTATATACAAATAATGGTGCTATGGATGTCCACTCTATGTTATTCTACACACTTATAACAAGCCAACATAGAATGAAAAAATAATAATTTATTACACAAATTATAAAACATATCTTATTTTCTTTGGGAAATTGCATCCTGAAGTAGTAGGTGACAGTGCACAAAAATTATAAATACAGGGCTTTCTAAGTAGCTCACCAGCAGTATTTGAGGTTGTTCTCCATCTTTATCTGTCAAATGCAGAAAGTTCTTCTTTCCTGGCTCAAAATTAGCATCGAGAAGAGACTTGTCACTGGTATGATCCAGTGGAGGCTAAGGACATAAAACACATATTTCAGATCATGAGAAACATAAAATGAAATAAGTAATCTGTAAATGCACACAGATCTACATTTAAAGACTATTTTTTAAGTAATGATCTGGTAAAATTCTGTTCATGCAGGCCTGGAATTAACTCATTTATTCACTAACTGGGATAGCTAAGCCCAGTAACAGTGCATACACTAATAGGTATCCCAGCGACTCACATTCCCCAACATCTAAAAAACCAAAAAGAGAAAAGGTAAAAGTTAAGAGGTAATGTTAAGTACTGCATACACATATAAAGAATATATAAACATTTCTCTTTCCATGTTCTGTACAATATATGCAATATGACATTTAATGGATTTTCATGAAAACTGACTAAAGGTAACTTTACATAACTAAAAACTAAAATGTTTTGATATATAAATATGATGAAAAATACCAGATAAGCAACATACTAAAAAACCCAACCAAAATAATGTAACATAATTATGCAATATAACAAAAATATAACTAATGTAGTATATAATATAACCTTCAGAAAGACCCCTTAAGGAAAAACCCGTCCTAGTAAATGATACCTACTTCAAATGTACTGCTAGGATTCAGAGGACCCAGGGGGTATGGAAGTGACTGTGATCAGACATTTGAAAATTAAACATCTAAAATTCAAGTCTTCACCTAACTTATACGGTAGGGCAATTTCAACTCTAGCTGCCATTCTAACATACTCTAGTTGGTGGATAAGAGAGGAAACTCTGTATGCCCCAAGCCCTACTCACTCACTCTAGACCACTGTTGAGAAAAATGAGGCAGTAGAAATAAACATATTTAAAACTTTTTTGTTGCATTAAGGAATGTTTTCAATGTTTCAAAGACATGGGCAGAGTCTCCTTAAAAAGACGCATTTTATGAAAATGCCTTTATTTCTTAAGAAATTAATACTGATTAACATTGTATAAAAGTGCAGGTACTGAGGAAAAAAAATAACTAAGGGATTTGCTACTTACTATCTGTGTGACTTTGGAAAGTTATTTCACTTCCCCATTACTCAGTTTCCTCACCTATGAGTCTCTAATAGCACCTGCCTTACAGAGTAGTTATTAATATAAGGATTAAATAAGACTGTATTTGTACAGGGCTTAGAATACTACAAACACAGTAAGTGCAAAAGATGTGTTAAGTAAATAAAAAAGCAAATATATGATCTACCTCTTAACTTTGGCTCACATCTATCAATCCACAGGAGAAACGACATAGAAAACCTGAAGCTAAAAGAAGCCACATGGAAGGAAAAAAGGGACTGTTGGGTTCCTTAAAATCACTGATGGGACATGATCAGGTGATATAGCTGAAATACACAGGGGTTTTACCTCAGTAAGTGTCTGTATACAAGGTGATGGGCAGCTAAATGGGCTTGGTTTTCTGAGGAGTATCCATTCAGCACTATGCAGTAAGCAGATGAAAAATCATATTTGTAGAAATGTACAGGAGGCAAATAAAAATACAGAAATAGAGCTCTTGAGTACAGTTATAGCTGGAGAGAGAGAAACAGGTAATTCTGACATATAGCTATTTAAAGCTACTGTGAAAGATAATTAAACAAATGCTTTTTGAATGCTGAGAAGGAATGTTTATGGAGGATATGAAATTTATATGTGGTTCTTGCCATAAAAATGCTTACACTAGATATAGAAAGACACAGATTGATAATACTTATAACAAAAAGGAACTATGATAAGTGGCCCAGCCAAAGGGCATGGGAGGTCAACGAGAAAAACATTACTTTTAAAGCAGCATGAAGAAACATCGAGTAAGGCTTCTTAAGGGTAAAAGATAAATAGGACCTGGGAAGACATATAGGACAGTACAGAACTATCCTTTAAATTGAAAAAGAGACAACACTAGAAATTATGTGGTGATGTACCAAAAAGTATCCAAAGTTTCAGATTAAATATTGTTTATCTTTCAGGTCTTGTCTGACTACCAATTTTACTGGTTAATTTCAGTTTAAAACATTAGTTCTATATATTTTTTAAAAAAATATTGTGGAATAAAAAGCATAATATCATTTTTAAGGGCAAATCAGGCAATATCAAACATCTTTGATTCACCTGTGGAACCAACTTAAAATATGTACTCCAAATATCATAGGGATACACATTCCATTTCACTGGCTGTTAGAGGTATTTTCCTGGAAAAATTAGAGCAGTAATGGCATGGGATAAAGAGGTAATATAAACAAAAACATGGAGACAGAAAACTATGGAAATTTATGTTAAGAAAATAAATCAATCCAGTATCTGGGATTTAAGAGTATAAAGCCTTAAAGAACCAATGGTAGCCTGTCTTAAATGCTATCTTAGGGAATCTGATTTTTCATCAGTGGGCAATGAGGGGTGATTGAAGGTTACTGAACTGGAAGGTGATTAAGTGCTACAATTTTAGGTGACTGAAAATAATTCTAACTATTATGCAGGGTAAATTTGGGCTGAGAGAATGGAAACAAAAAAGACTACCTAGAATATACTATTCTAATAACGCAAATGAGATCCAACTCAAAGGTCTCCTTCCTTAACCACACTCCCATGCAAGTTATCAGTGCCTCTGCTACATTCTGAATGTTCATTCTTCCCCAGAAGTCATATGCTGAAACCTAATCCCCAATGCAATGATATTAAGGGGTGGGGCCTTAGGAGCTGATTACTTCTTGAGGGTGGAGCCCTCATGAATGGGATCAGTGCTCTTACAAAAATGGCCTAAGGAGAGACATCTATCATGGATTTCTAGAAATTTTTTTCATAATTGCAATTGTTTATTTTGGTAGTAAACATTAATACAGGATTAGGTCAAATGATGACCTAAGTACATGTCTACCAATAATCCTCCCCAAAAGTCCATAAAATGTCAAAAAATAGTTTTTTAATGAAAAATCTTACAACAGTGCAGGAAAACAAAGAGCATGCTTGGCAAACCAAAAATTCTGAGATAAAAACAGAAAGCAGCAGGATCAGATCTATGGAAAAATAAAACTAGGGGGAACCATAGCCCAAAGATCCTATAAGACAAGACTACCGTAGAGATAAAGGTAGTAAAGAACTTCAGACTAAGGTCAAGACACAGAAGCCAGGAGACAGTTAAAAGTGAGCAAGTGGAAAAGGCATTCTGATGGGTTTGGCGTCTCCTCTTTTTCTACTTGGACTAAGCAGCAGACAGTAGTGTCTATTTCCTGTCAGGGTAAAGGGTGGGTGCTGTGACTAGAGAGGCAGTGCAGTACTATCTAGGTACTGATTAACTCCTAACCCTAAAGAGTCAGGAACCAGCCAATCCCAGAACAAATTATAAACACATGACACCTAGCAGCATGTCCCACCCTTTACCCACAACACCAAGAACTGAGTAGGGTAAGTTTAATTAGCATCCACAGAGAAGTGAACAGAGGTTCTGGAATACAAAGATGAGCAGAAAACAAGAATCACTAAGTATTTAAAGAAATGCTACATCATGAAAGAGAGAAACTAAATAGATAAAGGATAAATAATTAAGGAAATAGTTAATAGATGACAGAAATAAGAAAGCATACCCTCAAAGAGATCTGAGATTAAAATGTTACAGTAGTTAAAAGTGTTTTTAATCTTGAGAGTTAAGTCCAAAGCTATCTATAGAAACTATACAAAGATCATAACAAAGAAAAAGAAACATTAAAAACTTGCCCAGAAATACATAAACACACACAAATAAAAAGAAATAAAAGTCAGCTAGAGATAATCTTGGTTAACATTGAAATGTATGAGGTATATATCCTTCCATTTCTCTTACTATGAATATTTTTTTCTTCTTTTCCAAAAATCAGATTATAAAATACCCATGATTTTACCATCTTTTTTCACTGAAAAATATAAGATGGTCCTCATTCTGTTCAGTAATTACAGAATTTTTTCTTTAGTAAACACAATATTATAGAGTCACCTTTCACAAATGAAAAAACTGAGGAAATGACATTATGTAAACTTTAGGACAACCAAATGTTAAATCCAGAATGGAGGCAAAAGGAATTACTTAGCTGCACATAGGCTCTTACTCTAGTCGTTATACTCTTGTTTATGATATTAAAGAGTTCCAGGATTTAACATTATCATTAGTAATAGCAACAACAACAATGGCTATAATAACATTTTAGAAGCTTAAGTCTAGGATTTTACCATATCAGCAGTATTGATTCCATTTCCCCACACCAAATCAAAGGTTCCATTTATGTAGCCTACTTTGTTGGCCACATCTTCAAAGAGCTTTCTGACTGGAGTAGATGCTGGTAAATTTAAAGTGATCCGTTCATTCACTGTCTTTGAATTAGTAGTATCTTGTATTATACATAAGACTCTAGGTTCTTCAGCAGCATTTTCTATCTGAAATTTTAAGAAAAATATGACTTTACATATTATTTATCTTTAAAGCAAAACAAAAGTATAATTAGCCATAAAATTTTATGATTAAATGTAAAAGACCTCACAAAATATTAAGTATTTTCTCTGTATTTTCTCCGTTTTACTATAGTCTGAAACATATTCTAATGGATATGTCAAACATATAAGTACCATATATGTTTGTTTAGAGAAAACCAGGGCATATTTCAGAGTCAGCAATCATTCCTGTGATATTTGTTTTCACCTTTAAGATTATAAATCTATGGTAAATAAGCCATGAAGATAGAAATAACTAAGCAATTTTAAGTTAAAAATTACAAAATCTGATCCTTAAAAATGTATCATCATCATGCTAGCACAGTCTAATCAAATATTTCTGGATCTCCTGAAAAAAAAAAAAAAAGGGAATTGTGCAAAAATGCAGTAAGGACTGTCTAAAGATTACAAAATCTGTAACTAAGGGATACAGGCTACCAGATCTCTTGACCTTTATGCTGCTGTACCCGTAAGCCCAGATGTCCGAAAAGCTCTGTTTATTAATGTGTTGGGAGCTGACAAGCTTATCCAAACAGATGAGCCAGGAGGAGGGAGAGGGAAAAACAAGGCAACAGTTTCAGTTACCAATACAGGCAGGAATTAGGGGCACCAATTCTTCTTCCTGCTTTTTCATCTAGTACATAACCCAGTAATTACCAAGAAAAAAAAAGAGTTTTTAAAAGGAAACTTTCTCAAATAAGCTATGCCTTCCCTCAAACTGTTAAAAGACATCACCTTTCCACTTTCCACAGGGGTAAAAGACTACATCAAAGATACTTAATGAAAGAAATTCCTTTCCCACCTTCTATAACGGCCATGTCAATGAATGGCACCATCATCTGCCTTGTTGCCAAAACCAAACAGCTGAGCCCAGCGTCTTCCTTCTTTACCTCACACAGTCTCCAAATCCTATCAATTCCACCTTTTGATTATTTCTTGAATTACCTCCTTCACTTTATTCCTGCTTGCAGCAAAAAGAATATCCTACAAGAAAATTATGAAACACTTTCCTAAGAAGTTTAAGTTCTTCCAATCTTTATATTCCTTCAACCCAGAATAGTATTTCTGATGATGTAAATCTCTTGCTTTCCCTGAAAGTCAGGTGCGGCATTAAAATGGATCTAGGTGTCTCTCTATCTCCATAATGGGTTATTCAGAAATATGATCTCTACAAACTGGTGGTGTGCACAAAAATTGAATTCTTCCTTCTTTTTTATAACACTATCAATCTCAAACTTTTGTTGCTTCTATATTATCCATTTTTAAATAAGAATAATTATAATTGGCTAGTACTGAAGATGGGATAGCCACAGTTTCCTGTTTGAAGTAATACAATTATCATTTGTTTCTGTGACATACAATTTCGAGTTTCCAAGTGATCATTTAAAGTTATTCCAATTGGTTTAGAAAAAAGTAAGTCACCATAATAATATAATATTTAAAATAAATTGGATAGTACTACAATTCAGACACATCAAAATATTTAATTACCAATAACTTATTTAAAAAATAAAAAGAAAATACATTTCTGTAAAATAAAAAACAAAAGAACATTATTAATATATGTTTCAAAAAAGAAAAAAGCCTTCACCTATACATTTAAGATGTTATATTAACACATATAATAGATTATTTTACATACTTTAATCCTAAACTAAAAAACATAAAATGGATCTTTTTAAGAATGCTTTATGACGAAAGAGTAAATGACTCAAAATATATTTCAACTACAAAAGGTTCACTTTCATGGATTCAATAGTCTACTTCAGGCATAGGTCAGGTCTGCATGATTCAGTGTTCCTGGTATAAAATACTGTAGTAGCCAGATTTTAAAGCTTCAAACAGGCTGCAGCTGATAGTCAAAGGAAGACAACTCTAAGCATTTAGAAATCAAAAGTGCTGTAATAGTAATCATACATAAGAATGGAGATATGGCAACATCCTATGGCCAGGCATTAGCAGTTATGGGTTCTTTCCCTAAATATGTGAATGCAGGGTACAAGCACTCCAAATGCTTCTCCTTCCATATGGGAAAATTATCCCTCAATGGAATCCTGTCTAAACACTAAATGTATTATACAGAAAAAACAAAATTTAATCTCATGTGCGGCTTATATTCTTTTTAGTAACAGCCCTTTTCTTCCTTTTCTGTACATATAAATAATTTTGCTTTTTAAAAAAACAGAGTATAAAGGAAAAAATGGAAATAATCGTTACTCTATAACCCACAGGTAACTATTTACATTCTTACATATATCCTCCCAAATATTTTATCTGCGTGCGCGTGCACACACACACACACACACACGCACACACAGAGAGAGAGGGAGAGAGAGAGAGAGAGAGAGAGAGAAAGAGAGAAACACAGAGAGAAGCATACATGCATGCTTCATAATCACAAACACTGGATTACAATATACATGCTGTTTTCTAACTCCTTTCTTATATCATGCAATCTTTCCCTGTAAAGCTTTTCCTAACTCATCATTTTAATAGCAAAGTGGTATTTTTTAGTACATGGATTAACAATAATTTAGTTAATAAATTCTACTTTACTGACTCAGACTAGATGTTATTATACTTTTACAAATAATTCTGTGATGAACACCTACATAAAACTTCATATATTTTGTTTCCTTAAAATTCCTATACATAGAATTTCTCAGCAAATTACATTTTACCTTTGAATTCTGTTGCAGGATGATTTAAACAAATAAAAAGTTGTGTTCTTCTTTAAAGCTCTAAGCTAGCCACTCGTTAAATTCTATTTTACACCCAACTTTCTGGGTCCATTCTTATTTCACCTATACTTTAGTCTAATATGTGGATTTCATCTGAATTTTAGAATCACCACTGCTAATAGTAATCACACTAAAGTAAAATTTCTCTCTTCCTTTCCCCTCTCCAATTTGGGAACTGATAATAAAACAATTATTTTGTTGTCACAATTTTAATACACCACCAATAAGATATAGCAATAGTTTTTTTTTAATAGCTTTTCAAGAGGGAAAAACAATTATACAATATAAACTAAACATGGAGGAAACATTTCCAAAATATTTAAACGTAAAAAGGTATTTCTTGGAAATGGGGAATTAGGGTAGCTATCTTCTTAATTTCTTTGTGGCTCTAACCTAGACTGATCCTACTTATGCCCAAAAGTAAAAACAATTACGTCTTGAGGTGGATTAAAGATGGTAAAAAAAAAATTCTTTGCCCTTCTTTTTTCTTTTTCCTTTTCCCATGAATCTGACCTGGCCATGTGACCATCTAAGACCAACAGAATGTGACATAAGTGATACTGTGTAACTTAAGGCAGGACCGTAAGAAACCAGCAGTTTCTGCTTTTCTATTTCTTGGAACATTCCCTCTTTTAAGGCAGCCACCATGTAAGAAATCCAGTCATCCAGGGATCAGCATGCTGTGAGGAAGCAGTAGCAATCCATATAGAGAGGAAGTGGTCACTTGGTGGAGACACTGGGGTGCCTCATCTATGAGAAAAGCCTTTTGGACATTCCACCCAATGTCTGCCACCAACATAATGGAGCCAAGTAATTCTAGATGATGGAGCCAAGTAATTCTAGATGATGCCACCTGGAGCAGAACTGAATAGTTGGTAAGCCCTGGCCCCAATCCCATCCCACAGAATTCAGAACAAATAAACTAATTACCCTATTAAGTCCTACATTTTAGGGTCCACTGTTACACAGTAATAGATAAAAAATAAACATACCTAAATAGCTTTAAGCACATCCAAGTTCAAGCAGAGAAAGATATGATGACGGTGCTGTTGGTAGAGATGGGAGGGTACTACTTTTCATTTAAGACTACACCTAACATTAAGCAAAGGCATCTGAGGATACATCATGATTTAGGGAAGGGGGCAAAAATTTTTAGTCGGAAGGGTTCTCTGATGAATCTGAGGTAACAGAAAACATGTGCAAAGTTTTAGAAAAGCCTAAAGCAGGTTCCATTTAGAAAAACATTTAATGTAGTATAGATGTGCTATCTGAAGGGCACAAAGTTTTCTACGCAGAAAATCTAGCCAAGTACAAAAAAAGGTATAAATTATAAAGTTGAAACTATTTATTTTAGACAACTCATAGCAATACTACACTTGTGAGACAGAGAAAGTCAACAGCAGTTACATTTACTGTATATGCTAAGAGTGTTCTGTGTCTAGGTTAACTGCAGAAACAAAGCTAGATTTCCTAGCAAAGTTTGAAGGAAAAAAATCCTTTTAAAAAAAGTAAAAAAGGCCAGGCAAGGTGGCTCATGTCTGTAATCACTGCACTTTGGGAGGCCAAGGTGGGCGGATCACTTCAGGTCAGGAGTTTGAGAACAACCTGGCCAACCCAGCAAAACCCTGTCTCAGTTACTAATAATACAACACTTGCCAGGCACGGTGGCACATGCCTGTAACCTCAGCTACTCGGAGGGCTGAGGCAAGAGAATCACTTGAAACCCGGAAGGTAGAGGCTCCAGTGAACTGGTATCGTACCACTGCGCTCCAGCCTGGGTGACAGAGTGACTCAAAAAAAAAGAGTAAAAAGAATAAAACCATAGTCTTGTTTATAAAAGGTGAAACACATGGGATAAAAAACACTAAAAACAATTTTCTTTCAAAGATAGACTTAACTGCTAGAAACATCTAGAAGTCGCTGGTATAGTTGTAAGACATTTTAGGGCTCGCTGAAGGGATGTTTGCCTCTTAAGTCATCTTGTCTCCTTTTCTTAACATTTCCAATAGTTTTAAGTTCAAATCTGAGTTCTCTGATAACAATATCATAATTTTTTTTTAAAGAAAGAAAAAAAGAGAGAAAGAAAGGAAAAAAGAATGAAAGAGAGAAAGAAAGAGGAAGAGAAAGAGGGAGAGAGAACGAGAGTCTTGCTTTATTGCCCAGGCTAGAATGCAGTCTAAAAATGGGTATTAAAAACCTCTTTTATGCCAATAATTGTGCTTAACAATGGAGACAGGAAGGAATAAGGGAAGAAAATAACGAACAAGCAGCCAACCAATATTTCATTTAAACCTGTGAAATGCTATGCAATTACTGAGGAGTGATTTACTTCCAATTATGTAGTCACTTTCAGAGTAGGTGTGATGTGGTACTGAGAAGAATGTATGTTTTGTGGATTTGGGGTGGAGAGTTCTGTACATGTTTATTAAGCTTACTTGTTCCAGGTCTGAGTTCAAGTCCTGGATATCCATGTTAATTTTCCGTCTCGTTAATTTGTCTAATATTAACAAAGTGATCTTAAAGTCTCCCACTATTATCGTGTGGGAGTCTAAGTCTCTTTGTAAGTCATTAAGAACTTGCCTTATGTATCTGGGTGCTCCTGTATTGGGTGTGTATATATTTAGGATCGTTAGCTCTTCTTGTTGCATTAATCCTTTTACCGTTACGTAATGTCCTTCTTTGCCTCTTTTGATCCTTGTTGCGGTCTATTTTATCAGAGGTGAGAATTGCAACTCCTGCTTTTTTTTTTTTTTTTTTTTTATTTGGTTGGAAAATCTTCCTCCATCCCTTTGTTTTGAGTCTGTGTATCCTTGCATGTGAGATGGGTCTGGATGCAGCATACCGATGGGTTTTGGCTTTTTATCCAATTTACCTGCCTGTGTCTTTTGATTGGGGCATTTAGTCGATTTAAATTTAGGATTAATATTAATATATGTGAGTTTAATACTGCCATTTAATGCTAGCTGGCTGTTTTGCCCATTAGTTGATATAGATTCTTCATTATGTTGATGCTCTTTACCTTTTGGTATATTTTTGGAATGGCTGATACTGGTTGTTCCTTTCTATGTGTAGTGCTTCTTTCAGAAGCTCTTGTAAAGCAGGCCTGGTGGTGATGAAATCTCTTTGAGTACTTGCTTGTTCACAAAAGATTTCATTTTTCCTTCACTTATGAAGCTTAGTTTGGCTAGATATGAAATTCTGGGTTGAAAGTTCTTTTCTTTAAGGATGTTGAATATTGGCCCCCACTCTCTTCTGGCTTCATCATTTTTATTTAAAAAAAAATACTTCCTATGTGTTTCTTATTAAAGAATACAAACTAAGGTTTAAAATTGATAGATTGATAGTATATGTTCAGAATGGCATTAGCAAGTAGAATATAAGTTAATATCAAACAAAATTCAAAATCATCAAGATTTAAACATTTCTAAGAGAAAAAAATTTAAGTATTTTAAAATTATGAAGGTACCTCTTTACCTCTAAATTCAACGCATGCTCTCTAAAGACTTTCTTCCTCTCAATGTTATTGCAAATGCTAATATTATGGTTACAAGCTTTTTTTTTTTTTTTGAGATGGAGTTTCACTCTTGTTACCCAGGCTGGAGTGCAATGGCCCGATCTCGGCTCACCACAACCGCTGCCTCTTGGGTCAGGCAATTCTCCTGCCTCAGCCTCCTGAGTAGCTGGGATTATAGGCACGTGCCACCATGCCCAGCTGATTTTTTGTATTTTTAGTAGAGACGGGGTTTCACCGTGTTGACCAGGACGGTCTTGATCTCTTGACCTCGTGATCCACCTGCCTCGGCCTCCCAAAGTGCTGGGAGTACAGGCGTGAGCCACTGTGCCCGGCCCGGTTACAAGCTTTTACATACACACACATACACACACACACACACACACACACACACACACACACACAAAATAAGTCCATTTTCTCTCCCTTTTGGTACAGGTGCTGCTATAAGCTAAGTAATTAGGCCCTAGAGCATTATGCATCAGGGTATCCACAGTTCAAGATTAATGTATAGCCACAGATTTTAAAAGAGAATTGATGGTATGAATATTTTTGCTGATTGAAATTTATAAAATGTATCAGCTGCTGGGCGAGGTAGCTCATGCCTGTAATCCTAGCACTGTGGGAGGCCAAGGCAGTTGGATTACCTAACGTCAGGAGTTCAAGACCAGCCTGGCCAACATGGCGAAACCTCATCTCTACTAAAAATAAAAAAAATTAGCTAGGCGTTGTGGTGCATGCCTGTAATCCTGCTACTCTGGAGGATTGCAGGAGAATTGCTTGAACCCAGGAGGTAGAGGTCGCAGTTAGCCAAAATCGTGCCACTGCACTCCAGCTGGGCGACAAGCAAAACTCTGTCTCAAAAAAAAAAAAAAAAAAAGTATCAGCTTTATTCAGACTCTGCATTTTCATTTTAACAAGTAACAATTCTAAGGCTATTAATGAAGGTCCTAACTTACACGAAAAAACAGATTTTATTTTTAAGATCCTCTCTTTACCCCACCTCAAAACCCCAGCCAACTCTGATGTTATCTACATGATCTTTTTCTAAGTGGTCTCTTGCTACACTTGGGAAGGAAAGAAGAGATTAAAGGAGGAACTCTGGGGGACAAAAAACAGAGCAAAGGGACTAAAGGAAAAGTATTAAGTAAAGTTTGGACCGGAATGCTATATCACATGGAAGTTTAAGTCTGTAGTGCACAAAGGCTCTCAGGAAGTTAATATTAATAGGATTTCTGGATTTCGACTTTGTAAACTTTTAAATGATTTAATTTCCTACATTATTAATATTTCAGAAAATAAATATATCTGGAAAAATAGGCAACTACAATAACCAACATCATAGCAAAGAGTTCTTTAGTTTTTCTGTCATTTTTTTCTCCCTCATTCACTAGTTAAAAATAAGGTACTGTCAAACATAAATTCATTTACGGTGACTTTATTATTACAATTGGGTAAAATAAAATAGCCAAACAAGCATAAAACATAAGACATGCCTTGATATTAGATAAAAATACTAACATGCTGTTACTTGCTCTGCTGATTATCACACTAAAGCAATTACATCAGCAGTCTACCTGTAAAAATTTCTTCTTCATTTCATCAAAGATATTTTGTCTGCATCTCCAAAACACATCCTATGATATATAAGAACAAAATGAATTACAAATTATTTATATAAAATAAAGGAAGAAGGCAGTGAAATGAGAACAATTAACCTAAAAACATTTTTGCAATAAAATATGTATTAATTAAAGTATTAGTACATCAACTAGAATTTTATTCATAAATGTCCAAGGTTACCGAAAAATCTATGATAAAGATGTGACAAAGAATAAGATAAATATGGAAAATACCCACATTTTAACAAAGAATGATAGCTTAAGAATTGTGTATAAATCAAACGTCGTAAGTCACACATTTTGCGTCCAGTAAAGAAATTCTGCAGTTCTTTACGCTAATGAAAACCAAGAGATCTCTTGATTTTGCTAATCTCTGAGTGAATTTTTCACATGATAGCTACTCTTAAAACAAGATTGCTTAACAATATCACCTGCAACTATTTTAATATGTATCTCCTTATTAGTTTTTTTAACAATTAAATTACAATTAACACAAAAACAGATACAAGGAAATAACAGTAACGTATAATCAAGAGAAAGTCTCTTGAAAAATCTTGGTTTTACATCATTCTACAGTTTTTCTGTACATATTTTATCTTATTCCTCCTTCTTTAGTTAATAAAAAGGTATCAACATATTCTTTTAAAATGTGGTTTTGCTTTTATAATAGAAATATATTTGTTCTAACAGTAACAGTTTTCTGAAAAGCAACTCTGAAATAGCTACCATTGCTTTATCTTACCTTATCTTATCTTATCTCATCTTTGGAGATGAAATCTCACTCTGTTGCCCAAGCTGGAGTGCAATGGCACAATCTCAGCTCACTGCAACCTCAGCATCCTGGGTTCAAGCAATTCTCCTGCCTCAGCCTCCCTGGTAGCTGCGATTACAGGTGCCCACCACCACGCCCAGCTAATTTTTTTGTATTTTTAGTAGAGAAGAGGTTTCACCATGTTGCCAATCTGGTCTTGAACTCCTGACCTCAGGTGATCCACCCACCTCAGCCTCCCAAAGTGCTGGAATTACAGGCATGAGGCACCACATCCAGCCTATCACAGCAGTTATTAATAATTTGATACACATCTCACCAGAACCTTCTCTATTCTATGCATATATTTATTTATTATATAGAGTGCTTTTAACCAAATAGGACAATTTTATTTACCAGTATTTGAAATCTACTTCTTGTCCCTCAATACTCACTCACTTTTCTGTGTCAAATATTTAGTTTAAAAACTGCAGTGTTCCATTATATAGACAAAACATAATTTAGTTAATCTGCTATTAATGGGCATTTAAGCACTTCCAAATATTCACCACAGCACTGCTTAATTTTTTTCCTTAAGATAATTTCCCAAAGAAAGAATTACTAGATCAAAGTTTATGTACTCATTTTTAAAATTTTTAATACATGGGGCCTTCTACAAAAAAATTATTGAACTGCAACTATCTTTCAACACTGTTCTCCCAACACTGTTCTCCTTGCCTTTAAGGAGGTGATGCTGTGCAGTGGTAACTAAACTATAAGCAAATCTAAACTATCAGGCGTCCAGCATCCTTTAGGGTCTTTATGTATCTATACCATGTACCTGGAACACTTTTCCCTGGATGTCCTCACCTCTTTTGCTCAAATATCACTGTCGTCGAACTTTAAAACGTGTCCACAAATTCTTTGACTTGCCTCCCTACAAAGTAGGAGTCTAACTTGCCTCCAGCAAAAGTAGGAATCTAACTCCAGTCCCCTTTAATATAGACCAGGCTTAGTGACTCCCTGTAAAGCACAGCATGATTTTTAAGGCTGGGTTAGAAAAGGCATATTAACTTCCTCCTGGGCTTTTCTCAGATCCTTACTCTTAGAATCCAGCCTCCATGCTATGAGGAAGGAAGCCAAGCAGCCAATGGAAAGACTATGTATGGGTTCTAGCCACATCCCAAATGAGATCTCAGTAGACAATCAGCATCAACTACCTACATGTTGAGTGAGGAATCTTTCAGATGATTCTAGCCCCTAGCCTTTCTACTGCCCTCAGCTGATGCCTAGCAGAGCAGAAACAAGCTGTTTCAGCCGAACCTTGCCCAAACTGCACATCTATGAGAAAAGTCACTAGATTGGGGGCAGATCATTACATAGTAAAAGATAATCAAAATAGTTCATTTCTCAATCAAGTCCTTCTCTCACCATCTATCTTATCTAACATTCCAATCCTGTTGGTACTCCTTATCTCCTTTCCTTGCTTCTTCAGGTTTCTTAACAGTACTTACAGCCACCTGAAATATTTGTTTATATTTTACTTGTTTATTGTCTGTCTCTAAAAAACTTCAACTCTGAGCCAAATAAAGTAGTGGATTGGATTTACTCTCCCCACCTTAAACAACTAAAAAGCTATATGAAATGCATGAAGCAATGATTTTCAAACACTGAACAACTGGCAACACAAGGCAATTATCCCTGTGAAAGCAGAAACAAAAACAGTGAGCCAGCTTCTAGGCTGCAGTGCAGGAGGGAGAACCCAGGTAGAGTCCAGCAATCTCCCTCAGTTAAAAGATGAAGGAGTTCAAGGGGTGAAAAGAGCCACAGTTCACCGGGCAGAAGAAAGCTAGACACTGTGCAAATAGCAAGCTCCAAGACCTAAAATGCAACCCCCTCGAGTGTTCCGAGGAGTTCTCATTAGCATATGTATGTAAAGCGTGTGCCTAAGGCAAGAGAAAGAACCCCGGGAAGGAATCCCTGGAGCTCACTTAGGTTCCCACCAACCAGTTTTTTTTTTTGGAGACAAGAGTTTTTACTCTGTTGCCAGGCTGGCGTGCAGTGTTGCGATCTCAGCTCACTGCAACCTCTGACTCCCGAGTTGAAGTGATTCTCCTGCCTCAGCCTCCCGAGTAGCTGGGACTACAGACATGAGCAACCAGGTCCACCTAATTTTTGTATTTTTCGTAGAAATGGGGTTTCACCATGTTGGCGAGATGGTCTCGATCTCTTGACTTCATGATCTGCCCACCTCAGTCTCCCAAAATGCTGGGAGTACAGGTGTGCGCCACAGCACCCAGCCACCCACCAACCACAATTTTTTAAATCTCATAATATACATGTCATCAGATAAGGATACTCAGAAGGGTACTGTGTTACTAATGGGACCAAATTAGACCTAAATCTAAAGACTACTCTGGTCCAACCTTAGAAAGCCTAAAAGCAAAACTCAAAAAGGATCAAACTGTTTAACCCATATGAAGATTTTAAAAAATCAGTATTTAAGATAAAAAATAACATGGATAGGATTAACAAATTTAAGCCCTGATGAAGATGAATGAATGAATGCTTAAGACACAGCACTAGAAGCTATTAAAATTAAAACAAAGAGAAGAAAAAGAATGAAAAAAGAAAGAATAGAAAAGTGGGATAATTTTCTTACCAAAAACCATGGAGGCCAGAAGGAAGTGGCACAGTATTTTTCAGGTGCTTACAGAAAATAACCGTCAAACCAGAATCCAATAACCAGAAGAAATGCCCTTCAAGAACAACCCAGGAATTGCTTTAGTAATCAAGTAGAAGTCAAGACATACTCAAATGAAGGAAAACTCAAAGAATCTGCATCTAGTGGAAGTACCCACAGGAAGAAATAGCTAAATAAAGTTCTTTAAACAAAAGAGAAATCATCAAAGAAACCTTAGAACATCAGGAAAAAAGAATACAGAAAGCAAAAATATGGCTAAATGTAATACATTTTCCTTCTCTTGATTTTTAATTAAAGACGTGACAGTCGAAGAAAAAATTAAAACATTGTCTGATGTGGTTACAAGTCAAGAAAATATTTAACACAATTATAAACAGAGTAGGGTGAAAATACGTAAAAAGACAGGTAAGGTTTCTACATTTCACTTGAACTTGTAAAATAACACCAGCAGACTGTGATAAGTTGGTATATGTTATGTCATACCTACACAAGCCACCAAGAAAGCTATACAAAGGGAAACAATAAAAATACTATAAGTTAATCAAAATAGAATTAGACAAATGTTCACATAACCCACAGGAAAACAAAAAAAGTTAACAGAGAAATAAAAAAAAGCAAGCAAAAAATAAAATGTCACACTTAAGCTCTAACACATTAGTCATTACATTAAATATAAATGATCTAAATACACCAATTACCAGAAAAGAAATTTTTTTGGCTCACAGTTCTGGAGACTAGGAAATCCAATAACAAGATGCCAGCATCTGGCGAGAGCTTTCCTGCTACATCATAACATGGTGGAAGACATCACACAGTACAAGAGCAAAAAGAGGGTGAAAGAGGGTGAACCCACTCCCACAATAATGAATCCACTCCTGTGATAATGACAGTCCATCTGTGAGGTCAGAGCGCTCATGATCTAAATACCTCTTAAAGGTATTTGACATCTCTCAGTACTATTATAGCATAAACTAAATTTCCACATTTTGAAGATGAAAAACATTCAAACGAGAGCAAAGTTTGATGCAAATCCTATCAAAATCCCAGCAAGAGTTTTTGAAAATTTGGATGATTATCCTGAAATTTATACGGAAAGGCAAAGGAACCAGAAAAACTAAAAGGATTTTGAAAAAAAATAAAGTGAGAGGTCTCAGTTTAGTTGATTTTGAGATTTAATAGATAGCAACAGTAATCAAGACTGTATGGTATTGGCAGGCAGATAAATAGGTCAATGTCACAAATGAAACCTATACAAATTTGCACAACTGATTTTTGACTAGGTACGAAAGCAATTCAATGGAAGGAAAAATAGTTTTTCCAAAAAATGATGCTGGAACATTTCTTTTAGACATCCAGAGGCAAAAACAACAACAACAAAACAAAACACCACCTCAACCTAACTCTCCAACTTATATTAAAATTAACTTAAATGTTGATCATAAACATAAATGGAAAACATAAAACTATAGAGCCTTTAGGAAAACACACAGGAGAAAATGTTCTCAGAACTCAGGCTAGGCAGAGTCCTCAGCCTTGACACCAAAATCATGATCCATAAAAGGA